GATTGAAATGTACTCTGATCTAAACTTTTCCATTACAGCTTTGGCTAATGTTTAGGATCATTTTCCTGTCAGAAGGTGAATTTGTGCCCCAGTTTCAGATATTGTTTGACCTCTAAGGATTTCTTTCAGGCTTGCTCTGTATTTGGTTCCATCCATCTTCCTCTCTACTCTGACACCCTTCTTTTCCCCAAGGAAAATAACATGCATGATGCAGCCTCCTGCACAGCACCTTCGTTAACATGTTTGCTGTGTCCTTCAAATTTCACCTTGTGCACATTTATGGCTTTCATCTTCCCTCTCCACTCTGAAGTTACCAGAACGATTTCTGAACAAAGTTTGCTGAGACTGATTTTGTTTAGTGGTTTTAGAGTAAAATATACCAAAAAGAACGCATGCCACACTTTTCTGGGTTTTATTTGTGAGAGAAAAAAAAATTGCAAATAATTCTATTCTCTCAACTCAAGGTTGGTTGGAGGTTGGTTGAGGACGGGAATACAGAGATGACGAGGTAGAGATGAGTGCTTGCAGATTTAATTTAGCAATGAATGGTAACAGTTGGATGAATTCAAAAACAATAAACCAAAGAAACAAGGAGATGCCAGGGAGAAACACACATGAGAAGTGAGAAAAAGAAGTCAAACCAGCACTGAGGAACTGCACAGGAGGAGAATATATGGGGGACAGAACAAAGACTGGGTCCCAGTGTGAATGGAAGGAACTAGAAGCTAGGGGAAAGGAGACTGGCACAAGGGGGCAGCAGAGAGCAACACAAAAACACAACATGGCTGGAAAACAACTACAATGACCCAAAATGGGAAAGAAACCAATGACCAAGAAAACACAAAACCACCAACCAAAAATACTTAGGTAAAAAAAATTAATAAATCACTGGACTTTTTCTTCCAAACTTGAAGACAAAAAAAATCACAGTGTAACTACAAACCCAAAAAGAAGTCCACAAAGGGCAGAGCCACGACACACCACTAAACAAGCATGCAGGAGGCTACTTTAGGCTTATCAAGTACACTGAAATGTGTGGTTCCAATTTGTAAAAAAAAAAAAAAAAAGGAAACAAAAGTTAATGCGGTGTAACTACCATATAGGTATCTAAAGATCCCAATATTGTTCATTTAACAGGCACAGTAAAAAAAAAAAAAAAAAAAGAACATAACCAGACATCAAACAAAATGTAAGGATGATAAATTTAAGTAATTTTTCCTCCTGCTCCATATCCAATGAGTAGGAAACACCACTGTTAATTACATGGTTTCACACCATCTGAATGACAAATCCCTTCAACTTTCCATCTACACCCCTCTCCTGGCTGGAACGAACACGGTCACCTTGCAGCTGAATGAAACGGAAATCCCTTTTATAATTTGATGAGTTATATAAATAGGCTGTAGTTGTCAAAATGGTGCATAATGTATGACCATTCTCATTTCACAAAGACAAATAACACTGATCATTCACAAACTGCCCTGTGGTTCAATTACAAATAAATAGAAAAAATAATGACAATGTTCTGCCAGGCAGCTGAGCCTGCCTGGCTTTCAACAAGGGATTTTAGATCCTTTTTAAATATCTTAACAGATCAGCTATTTCGGTCAGTCGTTTCCCACACAGTGTGAGTAATGGATGAATGACCCTTTAAGAGCTTGAGATCACTGGACAAATGTATGAAAGCATTGGTCCGAGGGAACACTTTTTAATCCGGCCTTTTTAGATGATCCACGTCTAAAACGGCGAAACTCAGCAATGATAAATCATCCATAAAACCAATGCACGGTCATCTAACCCTGAACACAAACAGCTTTGTTGAAAGCAGCAGGACAGATGAATAAGGGCTCAGCTGGAATTGCCCAGCAGGATTCAAACATGACAGGAAGAGATATAAATGTGGGGGAAAGCATCATGAGCAGGTCTGTCAACGAAGGGAAAGGTTGTGAGCTGGAAGCGCTTCAGGTCCCCACCTGTCCCCTGCTTCACACATGAATACCGTTACAGCACCAGCACAGAGGCGTAGCCAGAACATTTTCTGAGGGGTCGCCAGGCAGGAAACAAGGGGAACTGAGGAGTGGCCAAAAGCAGATTGGCACCAGGACCTCAGGATCAATGCACACTGTTCCAACAGAAAAATGAATGCAGAGTTCCAAATAAAAACACATTAGATTTTCCTAAAGCCTTGCTCATAAATAGATGCACGTATTTACATATCGATCCTGTCTAAAGGTACAGTGGATTATCTGTAGAGCTCTTCTTATCCATTATCATTTCTTATCTTAATTTCTGGAAAAAAGTAGATAATTATCCTTTTATCATTAAATTTTTGTATAATATATATATTTACTGTACATGAACTATCACACATGTGAAATTGATTTCAGCATTGTCTATCTCTGATAACATTGAAGACTAGATGATGTGCATAAACACATCATTTTCTCTTTACCCAATAAAATACAAAATCTAGTTCTGAGAATAGCTTAAATTCTGTGTTTATCATTTTTGACCATGGTATTAAATTAAAGCATGGTAATTAAAGAAATAGTTAGAACATTTCACTTACCGGTATTACTGCTGCCACAGTCTGTTTTTGGGGGAAACTGCTTGTAAGTTACATCCACCTGGGATTACTCGGTAGGTGTGGCCAAAGAGCGGTCTTTGATTGGCTTAGGGATACCATGGTGACCTCTGGCTCTCCATTTAGCTCCGGCCCTGCACGAAAACCTTAAAAAAATTTTAAAAGATTCAGTGTAACAGAGAGCAAGTTTCCATTTCTCTACAATGTTGCTGTAATGGAACATTAGTATTTATAGGGTATTGTAATAATGGGTATAAAAAATGTTTTTTCACAATAATCACATAGTTAACTATATCTGGTAATTTCTATTTTTGGTAATTTCTGGTCATTTCAATTTTTTTTTCTATTTTTTGTGCAGATTTATATACAGTACATGTACTAAAATATGTAAATAAATAAATCCTCCTGAAGCAACTGATAATGTCATTACTAATTGTAAGATTACTCCATCAAATATTGATTTTAATGGTTTGGAAAGGTAAAAAAAGACCAAAAAAAAAAAATTTTTCAAAATAAAGTGTCTGTTTTTCTTTCTACTTAACACACTTTTACAACTAGACCTAAGAGAAAATATGAATATTCAAGATTTTATCTAAGTTAAAATCAGAACTGTTTGATTTAGAGCAACAAGTGACTGCAAGCTCTCTGCTGGGTGTTTGAATATTAACATAGATTATAATTTTGTCCCTTTTTTTCTTCCTTTTTCCTATATCTCAAAGTACATATTCTTCCTCCTCTTTTGTGTTACAGTTTTTTATTGTGATATATTATTTAGTCACTACATATATATAAACCCTGTGATGTCATCCAGGGCTGTAGAATTTGACAGATCAGATACTTTACTGGCATGCGGATTTGGCACGTATGGTACTTAAAAATTGAACATCCTACCAGATATTATATCCCATACTGCATCATTTAGAGAAGCAATATTGAGTGAAAGAAATGGATGTTACAGTTTGACTTACTGTCTGGCTTCAGTTTAAATTAATCTTTTGAGTTCCACTTCAGGAGCTTAGAGGTGAGGTTGTATAGCAAAAGTCAATCAGCCACTAAGAGGTGGAATTTTTACAAAATAGATTTTTTTTCATGTTAGATACTCAAAAACATTCTTTTTTTCAGCTATGACATTATGTAGGATATGTCGGTGGTGGAAATGTCAAGCATAGAGCAACATTGAAGAGAAAAAAAAAATCTCCCCTATGAATAAAATCTTTAGCAGAACCAGGCTCAACATTGTGGTCTTCTGCCGCACCAGCTGGGTATGCCTTATGAAAGCAGTATGAGTCCAGGGAACACTTTAATGGGGACCAGCAGCAGCATGGAGAGATAGCCAGATGAAAAGGTGGAGAAGGGGATGGAGGAGGATTGAATCAGGGTCATAGGAATCAAAGTATGACATGCAATCCAACTCAGATGCTTGTGGATGGCAGGTGGAGGAGTTGATTGAAGTCTTTTAAGCTGGACTTTAATGCTGATTGGATTATGAGCTGGTATGGCTGTATGCTAATTAGCTGCTTCTCAGACGAATGAGCCTCTGATTGCATGAGGGTTAGTCATCCAGTTTGTTCAGCAGAACGTCCACCTATAGGCTTTATCATTACATTATGCTAAGTGGTGTCCGTTCTAGTCTGTCTGCTCTATGCAAAGCAAATAATTTAAGAACACTAACAGTCTGTACTAAATCATTTCCACTCTTGACTATTCTTTCTGGATGTGTATCTGTCTTTTCCAGTTAGAAAGTGTAAATCTAAGGTTTGAAGAAATGTCCTATCTTGCCCAACCATGCTTGGGCTGAATGGCTGTTTGCCAACATGAGCACAACCAACTGCCACATTCTGATGCCTTGCATATATACCCAGGTCCAACAATGATAATACACATGTGGAACTAAGAACAGCTTCTGCCTGACTGACCACTCCTAACTCCCCTTTAGGGCATCCTGACCTTCCTCATCAACATAGTAATGACTGTCATGATCCTTTCCTGAGATCATGATCCTCCAAATAGGCCTAAAACATGATTATACTTCCTAGAGTTTTCGAGGGACTGAATCTCTATGATGTAAAAGTAAATGAAGAAAAAAAATAACAGCTTTAAGAGCTGCTGTGAAGCGTTAAACGTGAGCTGACACGATTATCACCACTTGATTTCTTCAAAGACTAAAATAGAAATGGACTGTTAACAGCTCACCATGTGTTGTGCATCAGGTTTGATCTCTTTCATTTTAATGTGATCAGCAGTGTGGAGGGTTTTAGTCACTAAACAGTGAAATTGCAGCAGTAATAAAACAAGGCAAAGAAGCGCTCCAAGGATTTATTGCTACAAAATACGTTTTTTTGTTGTTTTAGTTTTCTTTTTTTTTTTTTACTGTCATCCGAGAGTTTAGAAAAGTAGACATCGTCGTGTTATCTTGGATTCAACACATACGACTTTTGAGACTCTAAAGCAGCTTTAAGTCCTTGGCGTGCGTCATTGCGCAGTGGCGCGTCCTGCCCTCGGTGGTTAATGGAAATCTGCTGACAGAGCACAACCAGCTGATGGTGCATATGTTTGCGCGGATCAGCAGGTACTGCTTTAGAAAATAGAGCAGAGGAAACGTGAATGGAAGCGAAGGTTTTAGCAGCGGAAAACTGAAGAAGAATTCATTCTCTTGAGGACTGTTATTTCCAGGATGCGCTGACGGACGCGTGAAGTGACATGATCCCCGCGACAGATCGGATCAGGTAATGTTGGATTCCACTATCCTCATATTCAGTTTATTTTTTCATTTTTTGCAGGAAAAAAATGAATGAAAGAATCACAATAGCTGCATCTTAATTCTTTAGAAACGCTTAATTGTCTTTGTGCGCTTCCGCAGCGCATCTTTCAATGGAGCGTCCTGATGCCTGAATGCGCGTTGATGGAATAAACTTTGATGTTCAGAAACGTTTGATTTTTAGTTATGCAACAACTATCTATGGCCAAAATGTAACCATATCTCTAGAAAGAAGTAGCCTTTTATGTGTGTTTAAATGCATACAGTACACCACCCTGTTGAGCTCAGGCATCTGTGCGTAAAAACCTCCCTATTTATAGTAATGAAGCTAAAATGGTTGTAACGTTGCATAATCGTAAATTGAGGACTGCGACTCCAAGCGACTATTTTAACCCGATTTCTTCTCAATTTTTTTAATTCCAGCTCTAAAGCCCAGAAGGCACGTTGCTATTTCTCATTAGGGACAGATAAAAAAAAAAAAGAAAAGAAAAAAAAACAAAAAACAGCTAATAGGCCAATAACCATAATGCCAGGTGTGAAATAAAAAGGAACCCTAAATATGTTCTGCAAATTTACAGCAACTCAACTTTACTTACTTCTGTTTTTCAGCTTTTACTGTGGACATTTCAGTCATTTTAATAAGACAGTGACTAAAAAGCTCGTGTCTGACTTGATCACATTATACCCAGCAGCTGCCCTTCAAACAAAACAGTTAAGCTATGACTCAAAAGACAAAATGCTCCCAGATATGGAGTCTTTCTACAGCCATTAAAATCTGTAATTAAAATGTTGCTAATGCTCCATGAAGCTCTATGGTGAGTTTTCACTCAGTGCACCCCTAATTTCATAAACTATATTTACCACAGAGAAAATGTCTCTAATCAGTGGAACAAGCACAGATTGTGAGACATACTTAATTAAAGAACTTCTTTTTTTTTCACTCTTTGGGCATGAACTGCCAGCTGCCTTTCAGATTCAATACTTAGAGTGGTGGTCAGCCATCACAAGAAAAGGAGGAAGAGGGAATAAGATTTACAGAAATAGAGTTGTGAGGAGATAATGAAAAGGGCTCCCTGTTATCATCAAAACACCAGAGCTGGGAGCGTTTTCTTCTCCATCGTAACGGAAAGAAATAGGTTTTCTGTACTTTCAAAAAAGTAAAATAAACTCAGACAGTGAAATGAAAATGTTTAATTTACCTTTCTTTCTTTCAGGTTTAGAGTAGGTGTCTCTGAATGCATGTTTATGCTGTTTAAACAAATCTTTTCATGCAGGGGATCTTCAGAGGATTCACATATAACAAGACTTGTTAATCTTTATGGTGACATATGTCCTTTACAATGAAAAACCTTCGCAAAACATTTCTATTAGATGAAAATTATGTTACAGTGATGCCCCCCCCCCCCCCCCAAAGTCATACTTTTTTATTTATTTTTTTTGTTTTGTTTTATGCGTTTTACCTTTAATAATCTGGCTTCTTCTGAAGGACTCTCAGCATTCCACAGTTTAAAAAAGCTTTATTTAATTACACTACCTTGCAAAATCACCCAAATTGGAGGGCAAAGTCTTATGTAGCCCTTTTTAGGTTACCTCACAGATTTTCAGTTTCTTTTCTTACAATTGGACCTTTCCAAAATTTTATTTTCTTTAGATGAATCCATTCTTTTTATGTTTTGAGTGTCAACTTAGTTTTCCTCTTCATAGTCAGCTTTCTAACAGACACCTTTAAGTTTCGTGTCAGAAGTGTCTGGCATTGAATTTCATTTACAAAAAAAAAAAAATATTTTATTTTTTTCAATTACTGGTCATTGGGGGTAGAATAAAAACAAAATCACTATAGCATTTACTTTTCTACAATGAGATCACATTGATAACTTCAAACTAATGAAATTTCAGATTAACTTTAATTCACTTGGCCAGATTATGTATTTAATCATTAACATGAACTCAAGGACATTAAACATTGAAACTGAATCTAAAAAAGTTTTCACAAATGAATGAAGCATTCATCTCAGAGAATGACCAGTTATGCACCAAGGTTATTGTCTCACATTTAACTCATAATTCAAAAGACAATACAGGTTGTCCTGCAGCCCTGTCAGAGCTGCATAGATATAGAAAATGGATGAAGTCAGACCATCCAGGTTTGATTGCAGTGCATCGCGATGGCATCTGTGCCACTTTCTATTCCTTTTCTTCTGGGACCTTGCTTTGACTCACTGGCACTGTGTCGTCTATCTTCATTAATGCAGTCTGATGGAGAAAGTCCTGTGGTATTGTCCGGTCATTTGCTGTCACATTGTTCTATTGTGTCTCAAGATCAACACGTTTGCCTCTGGCGTCTCATATACAGAAATTACTTTTGATAGGTTTCTGGCCAGCTGTGACCAGAGGTGAGATTTGTGAGGAGGAAGACTATTCCTGTAATCACATATATCTTTTTTAGTAGAAATGTAAGAGACCGACCTATTTTTATCTGTCAATGATTCTGCAGAACAACGGGTAAGTTGTTGAGTAACGTTTTTCCATCCCACATTTTTATTGGATTATACACCAAAGCAGCTTATTCTGACAGATTTATCTATTGGTAGATTGGTAAGGGCAAAAAGCACAGTTGGACATGTTTGAACATGTCAGCATTTAATTATGATTTGATACAACTGTCGACGTCTTCAGTGAAACCTTGCTTGATCAGATACCAAGCAGCAAAAAGAGTTTTGATCCAAAATCCTTTATCCTACAGCATTCTCACATATTGGCACTCCTGGGAAACATTTATAAATTTCCTTAACAACAATTCTGTTTTTTTTCTTTTTTTTTTTGGCTTTGGCATAATCTTAAGCTAAATCATGATTGCATATTTTAAGGTAAACAATCCAATTTAAATTCACATTGAGAACTAACGGTGCTGGGTAGAGGTGGTGGTGCAAATTTAAGCATGCAACATTGCTATGGAGCCTTCGGCGCTTGACAAGGTAATCACAGGTTTCTCTCCTGGTCTGGTGACTCTCACTGCATGGCTTCCAACTCTCTGTTATCCCATTTCTTGTCTGCCTACTATCCAAAGTAATAGAGGCACCTAGTGCCTTAAAAAAACCAAGAAAGGAAATAACTGTGTGGTGCTCTTTATAATTTCTCTAGACCGGCCAAAGTCCTTCAACTTTTCTTGCGCTTGCTTCTCTTGCTCATTCCATAGGTCTATTGAGTTTGGGCCTGACATACATAATGAACACAGGAGCTCTGTGTTTCACAGAGGCCTTTTAAAGAGAAACAGTCTCAAGGCACACCTGGAATCATTCCTGGAGATAAAATTTCTTTTTGTCATATCTGAAAATAATCCTGTTCGATTCCTAGATGTGTTTTACACACTAGAAAACATGTTTTTGTGGATACCATTTTGCTAACCCCAAGATGCTACTTTTTCACTTTATACCCCCCTTATTATCCTGCTGCTTCCATGGTTACATCCTTCTTTTTCACATTTCTAGTGCTTTAATGTTATGAATTATTTCTTTGACTGTAAGTTTGGGCAAGCTTAGGTAGACATCTGTTTATTGTATGGAGGAAACAACATTTTGGAAAGGAAAGCTTTATGTTTACATGTTTAAGCTTCCCTCTTCCTGATTCTTTCCTAAGAATAGATCACCGGGAACAAACACTTTAAAAATAACTCTTCATAATGTCTATTTATTAGATAACTATGGGGCATAACAATAGTTTTTACACAAATTTTAATCTTACTCAGACCAGATAAATTGCTTGGGTTACAGATAACAGTGCTTACCACCGTGCTCATTTCTTCAGAAAGTTGGTCCAGAATACCCGTTAATGAAGCATTTTATTCACACAGCCTGCCAAATCATCACATCATTACATCATACACAAGTTTATAGAAATGAGGAGACATCCCTGGGACCAGCCGTATTAAAACAATACAGTGTTCTGGATTAAGGACAATCTGAATGCACAGTGACAGAGCTCTCTGATAAGTATAATTCACTCTGTTTAATGCTCCCATTTAATTTCTAAATCTTTTCCTAATTAGATGAACTGTGAAGGAAAACATGAGCTTTAATATGTAACAGGCAGGTATTATCAGGGTTTAACAAGCTAATACATGAATCATAAAAATAATCCCAAAAGTTTTTTGATGAACAAAATCTTCAATGTTTGAATTCATTTTTGCTATTTTCAATAGTTTCTAAGACAATCAAGCTTTTTAATATTCATACTTGTAAAACAGGAAACATGGGAGTTATTAATTAACAATCAGTTGATGCCAGACAGGCTAATCAAACTGAAAAATGAAAACTTAACCTTTTGTGAAAATTATTTATTCTATTTTAGTCATTGGAGCTGTTATAGTTTATAATAAACTCTATGTATTTCTTTTTTTATTGACAAATAAAGATGATATAAATTAAATATGAGAAGCATTTCCCATATTGAAAAGGCAATATCAAATAACTCCAGAATTATTAAACAGGTCTTTTACCAATCTGCATATTGCATATTTTGAAATTCTTCATCTTATTTTATATTTATTTTTATTTTTATACTAGTCAGAGTATTGCTGCCTCAGCAAGGATTACCAATTCCCCCCATACTGTGAACCTTTAGGTTGCAAACTTGCTCACTAAATGCAATAATCCTGCAGTGATGATCAGGAGACCTATCTGGTAGGCAAAGAAATTGAAGTCAGTCAGTGCTTGATGGGATGCTTCTAGTGTACCTGCTTATGAAGCAGGGAGATTGAGAGACTTTCACCTTAGTCTACAACTCCTAATACGTTTTTTAAATCATAACCACTCTTCTATATAAAATTGCTCAGGTCCAATCCTATTTTACTGAGAGTATGTTTGAAGTTAAACTTTTCTTTCTACCAGTTCTCAAATAATTTAGGGCTTGGACTATGAATTAATAATTTTTTATCATATTTATGTGCCTTCATTTAAAGATTTCAGTTTT